CATTTGTCTGTCCTAGTACGTTCCATCTGCCACAGTATGCAAAGCAAGGTTGACTGGGCAAAAACATTCAAGTACTCACCAGCAGCTTCATTGTAGTACACGTTGATTCTCTCCAGCTGCAAGTCACTGTCTCCATGGTAACTGCCAGTGGGGTCGATCCCATGCTCATCACTGATGACCTCCCAAAACTGGGGGAAAAAAAAAATCACATGATGGGCTGGCATCCTAAATATGGGTTAAGGATGGCTCTTTTCTCCCTCTCATGTGCTTGGAACAGCGGCCACTGTGGTCAGCCAGTGAAGGAGTCCTAGAGCTGCACCCCCCATTCCTCCAGGGGCTGCTGCAGAGGGGCTTGGAAATCCGCAGAGCATCGGCCATATGATGGCGACAGACTGAAAAGCTGGGAAGGGCACTGAACGAGGAGGGTGGGCACAGCGATGCCCTTCTAGGGAAAGCCATGGAGGTTGGGGGGGCCGTCACCCCTAGGCAGGGCTGAATGTCACTGCATCCCAGCGGATGGGTGGGTCCTGCCAGGACCAAGGACCACTTGGACCCCACCCCTCAACTGCCTGCAGGGATCAAGGTCTCCTGGTGCAAACCCCACCCAGCCCTCCAGGCAGAGCAGTTTTAGGCCACTGACATCCAGAGGGCCTGCCGCCCCTGCCCATGGCAGGGGTGGGTGGGGAAGGGCAGGCAGGAGGAGTCTGGGAGCTCAACCGGGGACAGTGGGTAGAGCTGGGCACGGTGAGGGCACAGGCTCCATTGTGAATTTGCAGCAGGAAAGGGGGCGGGGAGGTTGGGGTGGGCAATATGGCGGTTGTGAAAGAGACCACGTCCTTGTCCAGGCGCCCGCCCACAGCCTTGCACCAGGCTGGCTCCTGCCTCGCCCACTGCAGTCGGTAGTCACAGCGCCGGGGACATCACCTGCCGCCTCGCAGACAGGAAGCCAGACTCCGACACTATGTCTCATCATGTCGAGAGTGCTCCTATTAGGGAAGTTATCTACCATTCGGATCTGAGAAATCTGCAAGCATCAGACATCAATCAGAACAGACTTTTCTTTTATAGGCAGAGGTGGGCAGGACTGGCAGGGACTATGTGGGTGAGGAGGGAAAGAGATGGTGGGGCTGTAGGTGCAATGTCAGGTTACCCAGCAGGAATATTTTCCTCTGTAGTCAGCAGATTCTCAGACTGAACTGTTAAGGGGGGCAGTGTTCACGGGCGTGCTTGTTTAAACTTGGTGCAAGCCAAAATTTATGGGCTGTGGGTGGGGGAAAACCTGCCTACAGTTAGGTGAAGCAAAATAGAGGGTAGGAAATGGGCAATTGTGAACACTTGGTCATTACCTCCTTTGTTTCATAGATACAATCTTCTGTTAAATGCTGTGGGGGATGGGGCGCCTGGGTGGCTCAGTAGGTTGAGCCACTGCCTTCGGCTCAGGTCATGATCCTGGAGTCCCAGGATCGAGTCCCACATCGGGCTCCCTGCTCAGCAGGAAGTCTGCTTCTCCCTCTGACCCTCTTCCCTCTCGTGCTCTCTATCTCTCATTCTCTCTCTCTCAAATGAATAAATAAATAAAATCTTTAAAAAAAATTAAAACAAAATGCTGTGGGGGATGGAATAACAGTCATTGTGAGGTTGTATTGGTTCAATTAGTTGTCAGGGGTGGGCTGCCTTCCATTGTTGGCTCTGAAGGACTAGCTGTTATCATCTGCTGGGTGTGCCCCTACACTGACAGGTGTTAGAGGGTCTTCAAAATCAGGGGTGTCATAAGAGGTAAACTTAGGAATATACTAAAAAGAATAATGATTAAGGGTTAAATTAGGGAGTAAAACCACAATTTGAAGTTTGAAGTGAGTGAGTCGAAGTAGGCTCTGAGATGTTGGGCTTAAAGCATACTTAATGGCAGAAATGAAGATGACAGTGACAATTTGATGGATTTCATGGTTTGCAGTGGATATTTCTGGTGGTGGCCTAGACATTTATGGGAGCTCATGCACTGTG